CGAAATGTTTTACAACAGGCGGAGTTCGGGGGGATATTTTCCTTTTAGCATTACTAGCGCCGTCTTAGTGGATACTTATGGAACTAGAAATTTGTATGATGTGTTCTAGTTCCATAAGTATCCACTAGGACGGCGCTAGTAATGCTAAAAGGAAAATATCCCCCCGAACACTGCCTGTTGTATAACATTTCTTAGTCAACCCCCCCACACCCTCCAACCTTGTCGTGTCCAGTCCTGTATATCTTAGTCCGTGATTTCAACCATGGATATAACTGATATAAGTACAATATAACATTAATATACATAATATACTTATATCAGTAAGAGCAATGGTTATATTATAAATCATTTATAAGTTATAACCATTGCTCTTAAATTGTATAATAAAAATTAAGTTGTATTTCAAATTAAATATTGTTTAAAAAACTATATTAATTTTGTATACTGTTAAATCAGTGTTCCCCAACCTTTTTGTTACGGTGAGTCAAAAATATTGATCTCCACCAGCGCCGCAATTAATATTCTTGGGGCCCCAGGCAAAGTCAATGTATGGGGCCCTCAGTACTAATGCCTATGTATATAATATTTTTGTATAGGTTACCTATACAAAAATGAATAATGATGGTGATTTTTTTTAAAAAAGCCCAAAAATATAACGTGTAAGCACACCACATAGTGACCAGTGACCATTTTTTTTTATTTTGTTCGTAGGACTTAATGAGCAGTAGCACTAAGATATTAATGACCATTTATAGATAAATATGGATATTGTTATGGATAAATATTAAATAGGCCCCGTTCTTCGACAACAAATTAGATAGCATAATAAATTATGAAAATAAATATTTTTATTTGATATATTTTATTTGATTTAAACATAAGATTACAATGCAATTATTTAAAAATTTAAAATACATGCAGGTCCCCTTGTGCCAACGATTAGCGGCCCTCTACAGGGACATTGCCCCGGCTGACCCTGTGGTTGTCGCGGCACTGCCCCCTACTATAAAAACAAATCAAGTAAACCATTATAATAAAGTTTTATTATTAAACATTTTTATGATAAGCAATTTTATCATTTTATTTTAATATAAGTAATACAATTGGTACTGAAAAATGAATACTAATTCTTAAATTATTTCAAATTAGATCTAATTCTAATTCTTAAAACTAATTCTGTAAAATATAAATTGAATTTTCAAATTAAAATATTTAGGTATAACTCTACATACAATATAATATACAAATATGAAATAATTGATATAATAATATGATTATAAAATTTTCTACAATCACAATAAAATAATACCTACATGTGTTAGGTACTAAAAATTTAATTATATCCATTGTAAGATCTATGTCCTACAATTCTAGTTATACTTCATAATTTAAATTATTATTATACATAGATATATCCAATAAAATAGAACAAAAAGTTTTAATCAATGTAAGGTTATATTTATTTATTTTTTTAATATAATCTAGAAGTTTCTTTATTAGTTTACGAACATTGTGACAAATAGGTTGGGAAACACTGTTCTAAAATCCAAAGCTGTACAAAAACTAGTTAGAAAGTTACTTTTAAGTAACTTTTTTAACTTAGCTAGTTACTTTTAATTCATAATAACTTTGTGACTTAACTAGTTGAGTTGAATGTGTCAAATAATCTAATCCAACTCATTAAAAAAAAAAATAAGTAACCAGTTTTTTTGTAGTTTTTTTTTTCATTCCAAAAATCCAAATGTTCCTTAAAACTACTAATTATATTAACTATAAATTTTATGATATAGACATTTTTCTTGTTGTATTATTTCTTATCAATTATTTATATCATAGTGTTAGTATATTTCTTATTCTGTTAATAATTCTGTGTTCTAATGACTTTATTTTTTAGAAAACAAACAAATCAAAAACACTGATTACATTTAGTTAGTTGTTTTTTTTTTTTTTTAATGTTTTTTCTCACCTCTTTCAAATATTACTTGTATATTATATATTACTATTAAGAGGAAACATATATATTAGGTAAAATTTAGACTAATGTAGAATAATAAAAAAAAAAAGAAATATTGCAAATACATGAGATCGAATTTACATTTTACAAAATTTTATCAATTCTTAAAAGTTAGTTTACTGTAATATACTCTGCCTCACGAGAGAACATGCCGGTTCTGCGCATCCCTCTACATCACCCTGCTGTCGAAACTGGTTCCCCTATGACAAGGTGTCGTCTCGTGGGGAACTAGTTTTGGATGGTGCGTGGCATGATCTCTCGTGGGACAGAGTAGGTGTAGTATATTATAAGAGATGTTAAACCATAATATTTAAGGTCGAACAGAACCCGAACCAAACTTTTCTCTAAATTACGAACCCGAACCGTTCCGAACCTACACACTTTTTATCGAACCCGAACTGAACCGAACTCTTCAAATATTTTATCGAACTCAAACTGAACATTAAAATAGTAAAATTGGATATTATTTATCATTTAGCCACCTTATCACAGAATTATTGACTAAAGATTTTAGATTAGTGAGACCTAATAGAAACCTTATAGAACTGACTTTTATTTTTATTTCTCTGGTTCGATTATCAAACAGTTCGTAACGTCTCTATATATTATGTTAATTTTAATAATGCTTTTTTAAGGTTACAAATATTTTTATTAAGATATTTGACACATCTCAACTAGTCAGCTGCTATATTCATACACCTTCCAAGTCCAAAAGACTTTTTACAATTTGTTTTAATTATATTAATGTTTTTTTATATCTAGTATTATGTTCATATGACTGATATTCCAATTCGTTTCCAAGAAACAGGGGTTATTAGTTATTACTTATTACCTACCTACTTTAAAGTTGAAACACTATCAAATTACCAGTTGTTCAATAAAATTCTTCTATTGTCACCAATATTTCAATAATTTAAGTCAGGTACTGAAACAGTCAAGGCAGTAGCGGTAGGAGGGGGGTGACTTATTTTTTAAAGTAGAACAAGAGTTTTTATATTTTTATGCCCGGTTTCACCACGTAGGAGTTAAAGTTTAGATTAGTTAACTCCGAGTTATCCATTAACCCAGGGTTATAATTTTTTCAGTTTCACCACGGGTTTATAGGTGAGAGTTAGTTAATCTGAGGTTAGATTACGATTGGCCCATAAATTGGCCTGTTCCGGAGGCCTTTAATGATAACATTTATTTTTCACTGATAACAGTGTTAATAGACCTGATAAAGTTGTTAGATTACCGTTCTTTTTTCAAATTTATTTGCGTTTTCTATTTTTGTAATTCGTTAATTAATTAAGTTCTTTTGTCGTTTGTCGTGTTCTATTGTGCTTTGTTTTTTCCGATACTGCCAATTTTAATATGGAAACAAAACGCAAAAGAAATGTTAATTTTTGTAAAACAGAGGAAGAATTGCTTGTTGAACTGGTTAAGAAATACGAACAAGTAATTGAAAATAAAAAAACTGATGCTGTGATGTGGAAGGAAAAAGAGTCGTGTTGGACTGAACTTGCTGCAGAGTTCAACAGCGTCGGTTTATTAGTGCCAAGGACTGTTGTACAATTACAGCTGAAGTACAAAAATTTAAAAAAAGTTGTACGTAAAAAAAGTGCGACAATAAGGTAAGTACAATTGATATTTATGTCGTGACGATTCACATCTATTTTCATTTTTGTAAATTTTCTTCTGTCATATTAAAGATTAGAAGGTCTAAAGACAGGTGGTGGAAAAAACCAGGCTCAAGCCCTTGATGATGTTGAGGAAAAAATAAAGAGCATTATCCAACTGTCTGTCGATGGCATGGCTTCTGTTTTTGATACTGATAATGACAATGATGTAATAGGTAATATTATATTATGTAGTTATGGTGACCATAGGTTTCTATTTTAAAAAAGGTTGTTATATTAAATTAAATAGGAAGAATTATATAGTTTTCATGATCCATTTTGACTGTTTTTTAGACGCTGTAATGGTTGAACACAAAGAACATGATGATGATGATTGCTACGTTACTGGTAATTTTATGTTTCAAAATATAACAGTTACAATTGTGTTTTGTTAAATAGAATATAAATATTATTTTTTTTTTAGTTATGCCTGATGATTTTGATAACCCAGAACCAGAGTCAACTACAGTTTTATATAGTACACATACGGAATTGTGGAATGATCAAGGTATATATGAATTATATATTTGACAATAATATAAATTTTAAAATGTAACCTTCTTTAAGGTGCAAGTACCAGTAAAGACCAGGAATTGAATGTTATAACACCTCACAATTTTTCATCTAATGTCAAACAGACGGAATTGTGGAGTGATCAAGGTATATAATATGAATTATATATTTGACAATAATATAAATTTTAAAATGTAACCTTCTTTAAGGTGCAAGTACCAGTAAAGACCATGAATTGAATGTTATAACACCTCACAATTTTACATCTAATGTCAAACAGACGGAATTGTGGAGTGATCAAGGTATATATGAATTATATATTTGACAATAATATAAATTTTAAAATGTAACTTTCTTTAAGGTGCAAGTAGCAGTAAAAAACTACAATGGAATGTTGTTACACCTCAAAATTTAAAATGCAAGAAAAGCACTCCTCTCAGAAGCAATAGTGAGTTAGCAAGTTCAAATTCTGAAATAATTTTGTATAATACTATTTTACATACCTAATAAATTTTCAGACAAACGTCTCAAAAGTAGGACTGCAGAGGCAACAAAATTATTAAATCATAAAGATCAGCTAACCGAATTGCAGATTAAATGTTTAGAGCAGGAGTTTGAAATAAATGAAGTCAAAAAGAGGAATGTTATTTTGGAAGAAAAAAAAAATACTAGAAATAGAAAAAATGTTGTTGGAAATAGAAGTACTTAAAAAAAAAATTAAAGACCCATAATAACTATTAATAAAAATAATAAATACATATTTACAATGAATCTTAATGTTTATTTATTTATTTAATAATAATATAAGACCAACTTCACTCTAAATTGCTAAAGTGATCCCTGATCAGACGATCTCGTTCTTGTCTGCCTCTCGTAACCCCTATTAAATTTGGAAGGTTAGCTTCTGCAATATTCTCAATATCGTAGCCCTCTTGCAGGATGTCATTTGGAAGTTCATCGTGCAGGTCAATACAAATGTTATGGATAATAGCACATGACACAATTATTGCTTGTGTATTAATTAGACTAGTTGTTATTCCTTTGCTCAGCACAGGAAACCTTCTTTTAAGAACACCAAAACATCTGCAAAATTATAACAAAATAACTCTAAATTAGAATTCAGTTCTAAAAAAATATTCAGTGATAATTTTGCTTGCCATTTGAATTCAAAGACAATGAGTGTGGCTTTTATAGTATCATGATTGAAGCTAGGTATGTAAGGGTCAGTTTGGTGGCGTAAAATAGATAGGTATTCAAAGTCGTCTCGGTGGAAACCTAATAAATAATAATTAATAAACTTGATAATCAATGAAAATCAGTTTTAAAAATTGAAATCCGTCAAAGCAGATTCCTTCAGTTTTGTCTGGCTTTTTATTCTAAAATCACTTTTTTTCATCGACTGAACCCCCTTATGTAAGTAAAGACATTTATTTAAAAACTAGCACTCCTACATTTAAAAAAAATATAAGAAATTATTTAAGTTATGATGTACATTTATATAATATAAGTATAATTTTTACCTGGATGATTAAAAATTATTTTTTAAATAATTCTGTTTAGTACCTATTATTAAAATAAAAGTATTTTAGAATATAAACGAAACCTAGCTGTTGAGCTATTTTAATACAAACTAATAATTATTGAACCTAGCTATGTAAGATTAACATGTTAATGATTCCTTATTTATTATAATTATTTAATTTCTTCACAAAAAAAAAATGTGAAATTTAAAATTTACTGTCAAAAGGAACTAAAAGTTAGGTGCATACATTTTACATACAAGTTGAAACTTTTTTTACATTTTAAATTCTGTATTATACTATTTTAATACATTAAAAAAAAATGTATTTTCAAAACAGAGATAAGAAAGAATTGTTTGCATAAAAGTAATAAATTTAAAATGATGATGCCTTTGTTTGTATATATTTCATTTTAATATTCACCTTTCAATAACATTCCTTGTCCTGATTTGGCTTTCATTGTACAACTGCTGGCTCCGTGTGGTAGGGTTCAGCAGAGGAGTCATTAGGTAAGGCTTAACTTCGTAACCACCATCTCCTAACAGGTATCCTTTTAAAATTCCAGTTTCAAATTTACTTTTGATTAAAGAGTTATCAAAAATAATCTGATCATGGCAAGACCCTGGCCATCGCGCCACTATATCCATAATTTTAAGCCACGGATTACAAATACATTGTGTATTAATAGAAAAATAACCTTTCCTGTTTCGAAATGTTTCAGCATTATCTCCACCTACAATATTCATGACAAACCATAGTTTAAACATACAGGACACATTAATGACAATATAATTTATGACAACATATATATTTTATAATTTTATAAGTTATTTGCCTACCTGGTGATTGAATTTTGATGTGAGTGCAATCCACAGCTCCTACCACTCTGTAACGGAGTATAACTTAAAATGGTCCTTTTTAGGACCACTACCAACTTAGACTGACACACAACCACGCGGGGTGTAATAACAAAAGCTAGATTCTATAGAAATATATTTCACCAGTATGACGAGGGAAAACCGCACTAAACCAATGGCAACTACCAGGAAACGATGCGGTTTTAACTCGTCATACAGCACCTCATCAGCCAATCAGAATCGTCGACGGTGAATTGAAGAGTATATATACCGGGACAATTCACCAAATCATCATCATCAATCATCATCACCATCATCATCACTCATTAGTCAATCACTGCATCAATCACTGCATCAACCGATTTATCAACGGTACCGATTTATCAACCGGATCGACCGGAATTATCAACCGACCGCACGACGACTTCCGTCCTCAAGTCATCAAGCACAACACAGACTCACGTAAGTAGAAATTCCTTTAATATTACCTCCCCCCTGCTCGACCACGAGGCGAGCTACCTGAGGGATTACCGACGCCGGGTCACGCACCGGTTGCATAAGGTACCAATCAGCGCGTATTCTCGCCGACCATGACTCATCGTGGTGGCGTCGGACGCAACAAACGAAAATCAACACCACCTTATCCCACCGATAAGAAGGGTCGTAATCGGGCCTTCTCACCTCCATCATTGCCATTAAACTCATGCCTTAAAGACTTACCTGCCACATCGAAAAAACGCAAAGCAAGCCAATCCAGCACTGTCTCACCTCCTGAAAATTCAACTCTGAAGAACCTGGCCATGGCCACCAATTGTTCACCAATTTCGGACACGAATATTACCACTAACAACAACAACCGTTCTCGTTCCGTTTCTATGGACGGATCTGAGTATTCTGATTCTAATGATACCATGTCTACTCCTCCTTCGGACACTGACGAGACAAACAAAAAATCACTTAAAAATTACCCACAATCCGACAATAAACGCTCCAACCGCATGCCACCAATTCTGATCCAAACAACCTCCGACCATCCATGGCGGAAAATAGCAAAAGCTATGTACACAAAAACTCAAGGTCTCGACCAAGTGACCGCAAAAACCACATCGATTCCGTTACAAATCCAAATAAACTGCCCTGAAGAGTCCTCATTCAGACTCGTCCAACAATCATGACCATCAACAAAATCAGCTTCCACACCTTTGCATTACCCACAATCCCTTAAGATTGTAATTAAAGGTGTTCCACTTGATATTACTGATGATGAACTCATGGAAGAACTCCTAGAGGAAGGTTTCAAACCAAATTTTGTCCGTGCTTTCGTAAAAAATGATAAAAGACTTCCAATTCACATGGTCTCCCTAAAACGCACAGAAAATGTGAAAGAAATATTTGAAACCACTGAACTTTTCTACGTCCGAGTAAAAATAGAACCATATAAATCAACGGGTCCCGCCCAATGCTTTTCATGCCAGAGATTTGGCCACTCATCACTTCAGTGCGGACACCCTCCAAGATGCGTTAAGTGTGGAGCACACCATTCAAACAAGGAATGTAAGAAACCGAAAGAAGATACCCCAACCTGCTGCAACTGTAATGGAAAACACACCGCAAACTAAAGGGGCTGCCCATACTACACAGATATTTACAAAGGAAAAATAGACCACTCCAGAGAAGCAAGAAACAAATCCATACTGACAACGATGCCAACGCCTATACCACTACCCGCAACACACGAAACGACCATAGCATCAACAATTAAATCTTACGCGAGCGTAACAAAACACCAAGCAGAAAAGCCAGAACCTACAATAAACGCATCCAAGCTCTTGCAAATAATCAAAGACCTCCTTACAACAGCTCAAGAAAGTGAAGACGTCGCATCAAAAAATGCGGTCATCACAACAGTCCTGAGAATCATAAATGCCATCCCTACATCCCATGATGAATGACCTAAAAGTCTTATCATGGAACTGCAACGGTATCGGAAACCGAATATCAGAACTGACGGCATTTGTAAAAATTCACAATGTAAATATAATCCTGCTTGGAGAAACCCGCCTCGACCCCAAAACTCAGCTCAAAATCCCAAATTTTCATACTTACCGCACAGACCGCCAACCACGGACAAGAACCCCTCCAAACGGGGGAACCGCAGTGCTTATCCGTCGTGGCATTGTACATCAACCCGTAAATATTCCAACCGAGCTCGACTCGACCTCAGTTAATATAAAACTCGAAAACAACATCACCCAGGTAACTGCAGTATACAAAAGCCCGGGTGCTACACTCAAACCAACATATTTAGACGCGCTGACCAACCACGATGGTCCTCTCATAATTGGCGGCGACCTAAATGCTAAGCACACAGATTGGCACTGCCCACAACGTAACAAATCAGGCAAAACCCTTGCACAACATGCCGAGCGGGTAAACCGATACTCGGTCGTTGCCTCTGACTCGCCAACACACTATCCCTACATCGCGACCCATCGACCAGACATCCTCGACATTTTCCTGCTAGACTTGCCAAACACGCACTACCTCTTAACCAATCACTGCGAATTATCGTCAGACCATAACCCTCAGATGCTAAACATATCATCCCGACCTTCAATGGGTGGGCCACCATCAGCAAGAAAACGCATAAACTGGAGAAAGTTCCAAACCGAACTAACTCCCCAAATTAAAAACATTCGCATCACCACCATCGAAGACATCAACAAAAACATCGACCAACTCACCAAAACCATCCAGTCTGAGATCAAAAACTGTTCCTACGAACCGCGAACACAAGACCAACCAAAATCACTACCTGATGATATACTGCTTGAGATTAATACCAAGCGTTTACTACGAAAAAACTGGCAACGTACGCGCGACCCTCGGGTGAAAACGCTATACAACGCACAGGTTTCCCATGTCAAAGATATCCTCACTCGCCACAGACAATCGGAATGGAACTCTTTTACTGCCACTCTCAACTTTAAAAACAAATCCATATACAAATTGAACCGACGACTCCTCCACAAACAACCAGCATGTCAACCTCTCAAAGCACCTGATGGGACAAAAATCTACGACACTAACTTAAAGGCAGAACTTTTCGCAGACACAATGTCAGCCCAGTTCCAAAACAATCCGGGCCCACCATCACCTGAAGTCACCAACTCAATCCAAAGATTACGGGACCTTGTAAATCCTCCATCGGAAGAATATGTTACGCCGAAAGAAGAATCTGGCATAATAAAAGGACTCCCTTCAGCAAAAGCACCAGGCGAGGATGGCATTACCAACAAGGCATTGAAACACCTTCCAAAAATTGCAATTATCCTCCTAGCGAACATTTACACGTCATGCCTCAGACTCTCTTACTTCCCTGACCAGTGGAAAAAGGCTCAAATTGTCATGATCCCAAAACCCATGAAGAATCACCAAATGCCAGACAATCATAGGCCTATATCACTCCTCAACACCATGTCTAAAATATTTGAAAGAATAATTCTACGTAAGCTTAACATCCACGTTAAAACTAGATGTGAACAACACGCTTTCCGTACTGGCCACTCTACGATCACACAGCTTATCACACTGACCGACGACCTGAACCAAAGATCTCAGAAGGGGGAAAAAACTGTAGCCGTCTTCCTAGACGTGGCGAAAGCTTTTGACCGTGTGTGGCACGAAGGACTCATCCACAAGTTAACACTCTCAAACGTTCCTCACTCACTTATAGTACTCATTGAATCCTTTCTTAAAGGCCGTACTTTCAAAATCAAAATATCTGATCACCTATCTACATCTCGTAACATAGAAGCGGGTGTCCCTCAGGGGTCATGTCTATCACCGCTCTTATACTCAGTCTACATAAACGATTTCCCGACCATAGGACCAGTCACACTGGCCCTCTTTGCGGACGATACCCTTCTCTACACGAGCAACCATAACTACAAATATGCAGTATACAAGCTTCAAAGACAACTGGACATCACGAACGACTGGCTCACAAAATGGAGAATCCAACTAAACGTATCCAAAACGGTAGCAGTGATATTTGGGCCTCGATCCCAAAAACAAACCATGAAGCTAAAATTACAAAACCAACATCTCGAATGGAGCAATCACGCAAAATATCTTGGAGTCACCTTCAACCACGATCTAAGCTTTGACAAGCATATCCAAAATACCATCCGAAAGGCTCGCGGTGCCCGGGCTGCACTACATCCGATCCTAAACCGAAACAGCACTGTTCCACTGGCTAACAAACTGACAATATACAAAATATACCTTAAGCCCATTATTTTATATGCAGCTCCCGTTTGGAGAAACAGAATTCGCCAATCATCTTGGAAACAGATTGAGATCTTCCAGTCCGTAGCACTACGTACCGTGACCGGCGCCCACTACCTGGTCTCAAATCTAAACTTACGGAACTCAATGTCCATCGAAACCCTCCAAGACGAAGCACTCCACCTATCAAAAAACCTTGCTCATACACTTTCAAGGAGCAAATATCCACACTTATCATGTCTAGTCCCATGAACAGACCAAAACCTATCAATTAAATTACCTTATTCAGAGAGAAAAGGCTTAGCCTGGTGCTCTTAAACAGGCCAAAGGCCGTCCCACCAAAGCAAATTGCAAAATCATCATCAGTCTTCAACATCTTCTCAAACATTCAACAACATAACTTGTACAGAAGAACCGAAGATAGAAGACCACACACAGCCAGTTTCCAACTCTGGCCGCCACCGACGACAAGACAGCCAACGATTCCGACCAGTCCGACCGCCGAGCAACGTGCACCCACGGAAGAACGTAACGGAGACGACCCGGCCCACTATACCGACCGACGTATTCAAAGCACCGACCACCGGAACCACGGCTTCGACGAAAGCTTCGTCGAACGACGAGACGAGAACTTCACGAACCTGAATCGGCGTAATTGATCCTCGACGAGTCCACCTCACGATCGAGACCGAACCCAACGACTTCGACTCGATACGCAGCTGACACGACGACGCCGATGGGTAACCACCAGACCTCGAGAACGGAGGACACTGACGCCTGCCCGATTCGGCCGACCAGTAGCAGTCCCAGACGCCGAGGAAACAACCCATGATCCGTGGACGACCTAAGCACTTCTCGCAACGACTGTAACCCACCAGCGACGCGGAGCCAGCCACAAGGAACAACGACCACCTCACTCGGTTAAGCCGAGTCCAGGCACGAAACACCATCTATCCCAATAGTGGCACGGCAGCCACCGACGAAAACCGCCCATCGGGCAAATATATTTGTATTATTCATTTTCTACACAATAAAGGGACATAATACCAATACCTCATTGTGTTGACTTTATTCTACGACACGGGCAGTCATAGTGCACCGTATCAACTCTAGGGAACCTACTACAGTTGTAAAATCCACTAACAACTTTTCTCATGTCAACAGCATTTTTTGGAAAATAAATGTATTTTGATCTATGCCTTGCTATGGCTCTACAAACTTGATGAATGTATCGACAAGCCGAGGATTCGCTGACACCAGTAAAGTCTGCGACAGTTAATAAAAATGATCCTGTTGCAAGGTATCTCAGCATCATGTATAATTTACATGGTGCTAATATAGCTCTGTTCCTGAAACAAAACATAATATCTTAGGTGCAAGAAAAGAAAATTTAAGAATAGACAAGATTGTTTTTTGATAGCAACTATATTTAACTGTAATTAAAAGTTACTAACCTTTGAGAAGGTGGAGATATATCTGCTTCTATCAATCTCAATAGTGTGCGAAACGTTTCTTTAGAAGTTCGAAATCTGCTTATAAAGTCATGGTTGTCATACAATTCCAAGTAGTTTACTCGTTCATAAAAAATTCGTGGGCGTTGTTGCAATGCAATAACCGCTTCGTCAATCTCGTCATCCTCATAATAATCAAATAATATTCTGTGATTCATATTTAGCAAAAAAGTTGGCCGGTTAAAAATCAAGTTTATGAACACGATAAAACATCGACGAGACAAAAATTGATGTAACATCGACAAAACAAAAAAAAATACCTAACCTATAACATTGATAACCTAGAGTTAGCTCGTTATTACCTAGAAATATCAGGAGTTAAAATCCAAGAGTCAAGAATTACATTAACCAGGAGTTATCACATAACTCTAGGTCGTGAAATTACTTTTTTGTGCTAACTTCGAGTTACCGGTAACTCACACTTTAACTCTACATGGTGAAACCGGGCATTAATGTACAAATGATGTGTCCAGTATCCATATTTAAAAAAACTTTGGACCCCACTCCATATTTTTTTCAGTTACGGCCTTGCACCGAGTAATTCCTTTCTGTAATACTTACGTAATATATTTTGAACAAACGGTTTTCAGATGTGTATTTTAAACTACCTATATAAAAAAAACTAAATAAGTTAAAAAACACTAACTTCTATTCTAACTTAAATTACTATTTTTATCAAACTAACTTATAGTTTAACTTAGTTTTTGTATCAACGCATAACTTTAACTAGTTGAAAAAAATGAATAACTTGCCCAACTTTGCTAAATAAGTTATAGGTTACTATTGGTCATTGGGTTCTTTCTATTTTTTTTAATTTACAATATAATATGATTATCATCTTGAAACAAAATTAAATAATAGCAACTACATTTTTTTTTTTTCATAACATATTAGTTACCTGTATAGTATTTCTTTATTATTCTTAATTTTAAAAATATATAGTACAATAAACTTAGGCTAGCAAATTGTTAGTTATTGCTGTAACACTCTGTATACTCATATGTTTTCTGTTATACTGGGTTCTGTTGTTTGTGGAAATATTTATTAAAATCAAGGAGCATAGGTAAAACTATAGATGAAGCCCGTCAGGTCAATAAAATCTCTAGTTGTGTCTATGGTATTGTGTATTATTTCAACAATAAAATAAAATAAATATCTAGTCAGGTCTTGGTCACAATGACATAACTATTATTCTACACAGCTGTTATTTACAATTAATTATTTTTTCATAGTGGCTATTCAAAAATTAAAATTTTTTTTTAGATTTCTAGTCATTCAGTGGCAGTCAGTTGTGGTTTTATTGTATTTAATTAAGGTAATATTATTATTATTATAATTATTATTCCATAGTATTTAACTATATTTGTTTGTTTTTTTTAGGTTGACGGAAGTTGACAGAAGGTTGCATTCATTCCTAGAAGTCGTAGAAGTAGTAAAGTAGTAGAAGAAGTTATTGTAGTTTTTTTTTTTTTTTTTTTTATTGTATTGTAATTTTTTTTTTAAAAATGGGACGCCTATCAAAACGTGCGCTAAAAAACAAAGAAGCCAAGTCACGGTCCCGTGACAATGAAAGTTTTCGTGTACAAGAACTTGAAAATGATAAATTAAGAAAACGGTTATATCTTGCTTCACAAGATATTACAAATCAAAAAAAATTCTTAATTTGAAATGTACAAAAAAACGATTACTAGATCCGGTGAATAAATTAAATAACCAGATCACCAGTCGTAAAAACATGGCCTTACGACTGCAAGATCCGGCGAATAAACTTAAAAACCAGATCACCAGTCGTTTAAACATGGACAAACGATTGCAAGATCCTGTGAATAGAAAAAAACACCAGATCAGTTGTCGGAAAAATATGGACAAACGATTGCAAGATCCGGCGAATAATCTTAAAAACCAGATCACCAGTCGTTTAAACATGGACAAACGATTGCAAGATCCGGCGAATAAAGTTAAAAACCAGATTACCAGTCGTCAAACCATGGTGAAACGATTACAAGATCCTGTGAATAGAAAAAAACACCAGATCACTTGTCGGAAAAATATGGACAAACGATTGCAAGATCCGGCGAATAAACTTAAAAACCAGATCACCAGTCGTTTAAACATGGACAAACGATTGCAAGATCCGGCGAATAAAGTTAAAAACCAGATTACCAGTCGTCAAACCATGGTGAAACGATTGCAAGATCCTGTGAATAGAAAAAAACACCAGATCACTTGTCGGAAAAATATGGACAAACGATTGCAAGATCCGGCGAATAAACTTAAAAACCAGATTGCCAGTGAAATAAACAGATCAAAAAGACTGGAAAATTCAGTTTTCAAAAACACGTATCAAATAAAGAACGCTCAAAACATGAAGAGGAGAAGAATACCATCTGATAGTAGTTTTAGGCAAAATATATCTAGTAAAAGAAAAATACCAAATTCTACATCATATAAAAGAAGAGAACGGCAGAAATTAAATGAAACCAGGCAGAGGGAAGATGTTTTAATTTCTGAATATATTTTGAAAAGGTCACAAGGTTTATCAGAAAAATGTTATTCGTGCCATCGATTACGTTTCCCATCTAGTGTCAATAAGTGCAACTCCGATCTCCCCAGGCGATTAGGGATGTCAATTCCAAGTGATGCCAAGAGTAGTGTACAGATATGCACAAGTTGTCATCCGCATATGAAGAAATCAAAAATTCCTCCATTGTACATAGGAAATGGTTTTGAGTTGAACAGTGTTCCACCTTCAGTTACTCAATTAAATCAAATTGAAAAGCAGATGGTCTCACTCAGATTATCGTTTATGAAAATATTCAAATGCCTCCGAAGTGATGGACAACTAAAAATCAAAGGCAACGTTATCAATGTTCCGATAGATCTCACTAAGACTACATCTATTTTGCCCAGACGTGCCGAAAATTTAGCTGCAGTTAAGATGATGAAAGTTAAATTAAAAAGAAAATCATGTTTTAAACAACATTAACTTTATCAAAATGTTAGACCGTCGTTAGTAGTAGCAGCATTGAATGATTTGATTAAAAAACCACTGTATCAAGATGCCGAAATAGACAGAGATTGGTTAGCTCATGTCACAGAAACCACCAAGAGTATGGAAAATGGTTCGGACCTCGAAAGCGAAGGAACTGACGATGAAGATACAAATATCGAACCAATCAATCCGGGAACAATGGACACGATGATTGAAAACTGTGATTTTGTCTCATTTGCTCCAGGTGAAGGCATGAAACCGTTGTCTATTCTCATTGATGATCACGCGGAAGAAAAATCTTTTCCTGATTTGTTTGGAGGGCATCCACGCAATCATAAATCGCCTCTAAAGAATTATTCAAAAGTAGTACGATCTGAACTGCTGAACGTAGATCGAAGATTTGCATCGGACTCTTCAAACTTATTTTTTAAATGCAAAGTATTAGTTCAAAAATTAATTGCTAGTAATGTGCAAATTGTTTTACGAAAAAACAAAAAAGGAAACACAACTGTTAATGACGTAGCAAATCCAGAAGTATTAAATAAAATGATAGATAATGATCAAGGATACCGAATGCTACACAACGTACAAAATTCACCATCATATCTAGCTGCAATGAGGAAAAATGTTTTTGCTATAGTGCGTCAAGAAGGGCAACCGACATTATTCCTAACATTTAGCCCTAGTGAATCAACTTGGAATGATTTATTGAAGATTCTATACAAGCTACGTTACTCCAAAACATTATCTGACGACACTGAACTAACTTATGCTCAAAAATCAGATTTAATTCGACAAGATCCTGTTGTTTGTGCTACTTATTTTGACCACAGGTTTAGAGCACTGTTCAAATTGATTAAATCAAAAAATGTAATTTTCAAAGAACACAGTGTAAAGCATTTCTTTTACCGGGTCGAATATCAGCATAGAGGAAGTCCACATGTACACATGCTATTGTGGTTAGACAATGCACCCGTTTTTGACCCAGCCAAACCGGAAACTTTTGGTGCCTGTGTAACGCTAATTAACAAATACATCAAGTGTATGGTAGACGATAGCAGTCCTGCCCATGAGTATTTACATAAAAATACTCATAAACATACACACACTTGTTACAGGACTGACAAAGATAAACAAATGAAAAAGTGTCGCTTCAACATACCGTATCCACCGATGAATGAAACCTGCATATTGACTCCGCTAACAGCCGACAACAGTAATGCAGTCACAAGACAAATTCGTATACAACAATATGAAAAACTTCTGCAATATCTCAGAGACTTCAAGGACTGTGGCACATCTTCAGATCCGTCATTAGAAGATATTTTACAAAAATTTTCAATAGCAGATGTTAATGAATATAAATCCATTATTCGAACTGTTATCAAACGGCCGACAGTTTTTCTAAAACGAACCATAAAACAAAGAATGATTTCTGGATTCAATGAGGAATTATTTCCGCTGTGGCAATCTAATATGGACATACAGTTTATATTGGATGTTTACTCTTGTGTCAGATATGTAATAGAGTATATTGGAAAAAGCCAACGTGGAATATCAAAGTTAATGAGGGACATTGTCGAGAATCTCAAAACTTCCACTGATATATCTGTCAAAGAACAACTGAAAAGGATAGCTTCCACGTTTTCGGGAAGTCAGGTAATTTCTGCACAGGAAGCAGTGTACACTTGCTTAGGTATGAAGCAAAGCAATACGTCAACTGGGTATACATTCATAAACACCAGCCATCCGGATAAAAGAACTCGAATGTTGAAACCAATAGCAGTAAGAGAAGAAATGGATCCACAATCTGATGATATTTTCTACGATGGCCTCATTGAATACTATTCGTCTAGACCTTATAGTCTTGAAGATATAACTTTGGCTGAATTTGGAGCCAATTATGAAATTCGTGGTAAAAAAAAACCTGCCAAGAACAATTCAGAGTCGGACACTGATATTGAAGAAGAAACCGCTTATTCGATTGACTCTACGCTAATCGGAAAACCAAACAAATGTATACATAAACGTAAAATCAGAAAAAATCATACGGTATGTAAGGTTTAATGTGGATAAAAATGAACAAGACTTTTACAGAGAAAATGTTATGTTATTTTTACCATGGCGCGATGAAACAGCTGATTTGCTAAATATTAACTGTAAACA